GATAGTAACTGCAGCCATGAAATTAAAAGACACTTACTCTTTGGAAGGAAAGTTATGACCAACCTAGACATCATATTAAAAAGCAAAGACATTACTTTGTCAACAAAGGTCCATCTACTCAAGGCTATGGTTTTTCCAGTAGTCATATATGGATGAGAGAGTCGGACTATAAAGAAAGCTGAGCGCCAAAGAATTGATACTTTTGAACTGAGGTGTTGGAGAAGACTCTTGAGAGTCCCATGGATGGCAAGGAGATCCAACCAGTCCATCCTAAAGGGGATCAGTCCTGAGTGTTCATTGGAAGGACTGATGTTGAAGCTGAGACTCCAATACTTTGGCCATCTGATGTGAAGAGCTGACTCATTGGAAAAGACCCTGACGCTGGGAAAGATTGAGGGCAGGATGAGAAGGGGACAACAGAGGATGAGATGGTTGGATGGCATCACGTACTCAATGGACATAGTTTAGGTAACGTCCCGGAGTTGGTGATGGACAGGGAGGCCTGGCGTGGTGCAGTCCATGGGATCCAAAGAGTTGGACACGACTGAGCAACTGAACTGAACTGAATTAACATGATTCGTATAGAACTCACCATGACTTTATTAGGATTACTTAGTTTTAAGTGCTATCAATAAAACTGGGGAAATACTAGTGGTTTTCCAACACTTTGAGCCATCCCTGAACTTCTAATCCACCATGAACATAGCCTCGTTTGAGCTGAACCACTTCTTCAAGTGGCCTAACATGCTTTAATTCATATAAATAATGTGGGGTTGAAAAATACATATGTGCCCTTGGAAATTATATTAAAAATATTTGTCTTATAATTTCTCTAATATGTCAAAAATGGGACTTCTATGAGGCTTTCATTAGGACTTATTAGTTCATAAATTCAGGTACAGCAATTCCAAGTTTAATAAAGTAATTAGACTAAGCTCAGATAAAAGTGATTCTCTAACTGTGAGTGAAATCAACAGAATTTCACTGTGTGATTTTGACTCATATCCAAATGATGGCACCAATTTCATATGCATTTCCAGGAAATAAGTTTAAAAATAAATCTTCAATGCTTAAAATATAATCATGTCCAAATCTCAGCTTCAACTTCTTTATCACTACTAGTTTCTTATCTTTCTCCTTGGCTCTTCAAAGCCATGAGTTTCATACCTTCATTCCTGATCTGTACTTAGTAGTGTGAAATATTCAAATTAATTTAGGGATTTCTTAGATATCCCTTTTAAAATATTAATTTTAAGAAACAGTAAATGTGATAGCCAGCTCCTAACAAATAAGAAATATAGAACCATACATGCTTTAAACCCTCAGTTTAAAAGGTTCATTAAAAATACATGTCTAACTTTTGCATCCCATTTTTGGCTTCCCTGGTGGCTCAGAAGGTAAACGCATCTGTTTGCAATGCAGGAGACCCAGGTTCGATCCCTGGTTCGGGGAGATCCCCTGGAGAAGGAAATGGCAACCCACTCCAGTACTCTTGCCTGGAAAATTCTATGGATGGAGGAACCTCGTAGGCTACAGTCCATAGGGTCGCAAAGATTTGGACACGACTGAGCGACTTCACTTTCACTTTTCACTTTTGTATTAATATCTTATGAAGAACTACCATCTAAAATAAATTCAGAGTATTCAGGTGTTATTTTTAATAAGTTAAAATTGAGAAAAGTCTTTTTACTTACATTCAATTAATTAAGGCCCTGAGTTAGACATCAAACTAAACTTAGGGTTAAATAATTTGAGGGAATAAAGGAAACTAAGGGTTCCATTTTGATATTAAGATTTTTACAAAGTAAATGAGGAAATTAAACACATGCCTTTAAAAACTTAATGTAGAATGTTCTGTACCATTGAGGTAAAAAAGTGGTATATTACCAGAAGAGATCACTAGGAAACAGGGAGATCAAGGAGGATTTCTTAGAGGGCAAAGGAGCTGAAATACAGTCTTCAAGATAAGTAAGTTGTAACTAGAACAGAGTATTTTAAACAGGAATAATGGGAGAAAGAAATTCATAATCCATGTTTGAAAGGTGATGACTACACTAGTAAGACTGTACTAAAACATGAATATAGGGAGAGGCAGATGTTAAGACAGGCTTCCCTGGTAGCTCAGTTGGTAAGGAATCCGCCTGCAATGTGGAAGACCTAGGTTTGATCCCTGGGTTGGGGAGATCCCCTGGAGAGGAGTATGGATATCCACTTCAGTATTCTTGCCTGGAAAATCCCAATGGACAGAGGAGCCTGGCAGGCTACAGTTCATGGGGTCCAAAAGAGTTGGACATGACTGAGCAACTAAACACAGAACAGCACAAGTGATCGACCTGGGGGATGAAAGGCTTCTTATTAAAATGAACTTAGATTCTGCACAGAATGGAGGGCCATTGAAGCTTTCTAAAAAGGAGAGGGACTCTCTTTCTGCCCCCACATTTTAAAAATAAATTTCTTTATTTTTTAATTGAAGGATAACTGCTTTATAGAATCGTGTTGTTTTTTGCCAAACATCAACACCCGCATGCCCCACACAAAATTCCCAGTGAAGCCGCAGAAACCATCCTTGTTAAAGAACAGGAGTTAGCACAGTCCCAGGCTGAGACAGTCTGGGACAGAATCTGATAGTACTGAATCAGTACCAGAGCTTGAGGAACAGGCTTCTACGCAGGCAACCAAACAACAAGCCCAGCAGCAGATGAAATTGATGAAGAATGAGTCAGTAAAGCAAAAGAGAGCAAAAGGGAAAAGAAGGCACAGACGTCTTTGTCCAAAGTGGGTCTTCAAGAGGTTACAGGGGTTAACAGAGTCAATATCTGGAAATCTAAGAACATCCTTTTTGTCATCACAAAAGCAGATGTGTACAAGAGCTTAGATACCTACATAATTTGGGGGAAAGCCAAGATGGAGGATTTCTCTCACCAAGCACAGTTAGCAGCTGCTGAGATATTCAAAGTTCAAGGTGAAGCTGTCTCAAACATTGAAGCAAACATACAGACTCCAGCTGTACAAGAGGAGAGGTTGATGAAACCAGTGCGGAAGTTAAGGACATAGAACTGGTCATGTCACAAGCAAATGTGTCCAGAGCAAAGGCAGTCCGAGCCACTGAACAACAGTAATGATACTGTAAATGCTATTATGGAATTAACAATGTAACCATCTGAAAAGAGGACTTCTTTTGGTGTTTCAAAAGAGTAACTGAAGCTGGGCTGGAAATTTGTACTGTTTCTATTATTAATAAAGTTATGGCTTCTTGTTGGAAGAAAAAAAATAAAGACAAGAGGGACATAACAAAAGAAGAATTATTATTTCTACCCACAAGTCTTAGTTCTACTACTAGAGTTATGTAGAATGAGTCAATTGCTTTTTCCACGATAGGCCTTTACTTAAACACTGCTTTTATGTTCTTCCATTAGAGGTAAAAATGAAGACAGATTAAAGGAGGGAGAGACTGAAATTATGAGACAGTTAAGAAGCCATTTGCCATCTGTACAAGGCTTGAAATGAGTACAAAATTATGAAGGGAAAGAAAGGGGTGGCTATGAGTCTATGTAACTACAAACTTTTTTCCAACCAAGAAACGTTCTTATAAGGTGAACGTATTTCTTACTTATTTCACTTTAACATGCACTGCAAAACAAGCAGCTTCAAAACCAAGTTCTACACTGACACAGAAAAGTGCTGTCTAAAGAACAGAGGGCAATTCTGCAGAGACAATCACATTTACTGAGGGACCCACCCATGCAGCTCCAAATTTCCCCTGCACTCTTTCTAATTATTTTACATGCTTTTCTTAGGATGACGCTTAAATCATTAACATAGCACCCACAGAAGTCATTTAGGTTAATATTCCCTACATCATTAAAGGATGTTTTCCAATTGAAAAAGTCTAAATTATAAAATGTAAACCCATGCTTGTGCAACATAAAATATGCTGTAATAAAATCCTAATGTTACTCTCTTTATAGCAATATTAACTCATCAATATTTTCAGAATATTTGGCAGTTTCATTTTGAAGATAATACTAAAACACATTCATAATTACACACAGTAAATAATGTCCCCTTACATGCTTCTTTATAGGATTTATGGAAAAGTATAAGGCATAAGCAATACTACATTAAAAAATAAGTAGGTGGCGCTAGGGGTAAAGAACCTGCCTGCCAATGCAGGAGATGTAAGAGATGCAGGTTCAATCCCCCGGTCGGGAAGATCCCCTGGAGAAGGAAATGGCACCCGCCTCCAGTATTCTTGCCTGGAGAATCCCATGGACAGAGGAGCCTGGTGGGCTAAAGTCCCTGGGGTTGCAGAGTTGGACACGACTGAAGCGATTAAGCATGTGACCAAAATTAAAATTTATTAAAACCTTGACTTTAGTTGGCACAGAACTACTTTATTTGTTTTCCAAACTATAAATTTTAGGACATCAGGGTTGGATATAAATTTAAGGTTCAAAATAATGTATAGTCTGTCCTATTAAGTTGGAAAAGTTATAGTTTATCAAAGATTAGTCTTGCCATTATTTAAAACAAGAAAGAGATTTTAAAATGCATTTATCAACCTTAAATCATTACGCTTACTTGTCTTAAGTAACATGCATCACTTGATATATGTATAATTTTAATTTACTGCATAACTGATTTTATTGAAGGGATCTCGGGCCTAAATTCATATTTACTGAGAAATTCTATCTTCCTAGAAATTATTGCTATATTAGCAATGAAACACACTAACATAGCTCAGCAATTAACCATACTGATATTGTATATTTCATATCTTCATGTCTTTCTAGAATGTGGTCAATATAATTTTTAGTCTTAAGTTAATTTACATGAACTAATCACAATAAAGAAGGAAAAATTTTTAAATGAAGACAAGTTTTTAGTATTGAGATAAAATTCTTGTGGTAATTATGTGTATTTATAGGTACAATTAGAGAGAAAACTAAAATTCAACAAAATATCAAGTAATCAAATTGTATATATCTCAAGCCACATACCTGACATTGCCCTTGGTGTTTCTTAGAACTGTTGCAGCAAAATTCTGTGTGACACCCACCAAGCTGATTCCATCCACTTCCACAATCTGGTCATTGACTTGTATTCTTTGGGAAAAGGGAAAAAATTACCCACAATTAGTTTCACTCATAATACATTCCCACTCACAATAAATGAGATGACAAAATATTTGATTTTTAAAATACTCTTACTGATTCAAAATTTGTCTCCAAGCCCCAGATCTTTGTCAAAGGTTTTTGTCTATTTGTGAGCTCAAACCATTTCATTAAAAAAATTTTCATGAAACCTAGAAATGAAAAAGCCCTTTGAAATCTTGACCAGTGAGTTTTTGTGTTTCTTGGATTATTTAACTTGTTCCTGAGGTTGCAGAACTGAAACTATAAGTTCTCTGTGCTGTAGTAACTGAGAGAAGCCATGATCTCACTATGTGAGTACAAAGTATGTTCCTAACTTAGAAAGGTCTTAATAAATTGAATTATAAAGCTTCTGAAATTAGAGTGATAATCTAATTGATTCATAGAGAATAGTAATCACTTTCATAAATTTTATTTTCTAGTATCTAACGAAAGTTTCAACGTACTAGACGTCTAAGAAAAAAAAATCCTTCTTGGAGATTCTGCTAGAAGCTCAGAAGTCTTTTCATATGAGACCAAGTTCATGTAATAAAAGCAAAAAAGTGAGTCTTTGGATGAATCAGTTCAGTTCAGTTGTTCAGTTGTGTCTGACTCTTTGCAACCCCATGGACTGCAGCACACCAGGCTTCCTTGTCCATCACCAACTCCCAGAGTTTACTCAAACTCATATCCACTGAGTCGGTGATGCCATCCTACCATCTCATCCTCTGTCGTCCCCTTCCCCTCCTGCCTTCAGTCTTTCTCAGCATCAAGGTCTTTTCAAATGAATCAGTTCTTCGCATCAGGTGGACAAAGTATTGGAGTCTCAGCTTCAGCATCAGTCCATCCAATGAACACCCAGGACTGATCTCCTTTAGGATGGACTGGTTGGATCTCCTTGCAGTCCAAGGGACTCTCAAGAGTCTTCTCCAATACCACACTTCAAAAGCATCAGTTCTTCTGTGCTCAGCTTTCTTTATAATCCAACTCTCACATCCATACATGACTACTGGAAAAACCATACATTTGACCAGATGGACCTTTGTCGGCAAAGTAATGCCTCTGCTTTTTAATATGTTGTCTAGGTTTGTCAAAACTTATCTTACAAGGAACAGGTCAGTTCAGTTCAGTCGCTCAGTCATGTCTGACTCTTTGTGACCCCATGAATCTCAGCATGCCAGGCTTCCCTGTCCATCACCAACTCCCAGAGTTTACTCAAACTCATGTCCATCGAGTCGGTGATGCCATCCAGCCATCTCATTCTCTGTCGTCCCCTTCTCCTCCTGCCCCCAGTCTTTGCCAGCATCAGGGTCTTTTCCAATGGGTCAACTCTTCACATGAGGTGGCCAAAGTACTGGAGTTTCAGCTTCAACATCAGTCCTTCCAAGATGAATAACACTAATTTAATAATTTTGGTTTAAAGTAACACTGGAAAAGACCGTGATGCTGGGAAGGATTGAAGGCAAAAGGAGAAAAGGGCAGCAGAGGATGAGATGGTTAGATAGCATCTCAATGAACATGAATTTGAGCAACTGGAAGACAGTGGGGGACAGCCTGGTGTTCTACAGTCCACAGGGTCACAAACAGTCAGACACAATTTAGCAACCGAATAACAACAACAAAGTTTTCTCCATGATTTTATAAAGGTGTGGCTTTATATTTTCATAAGAAGACCAGTTAATCTGAACTTCCTAAAATTCTGAGACGCTGATCAGATACATTAATAATATTTCTACATAAAGTTTAAAAAGGAAAAACATATAAAAGTATGTCTAACTAAACTGAATCATAATACTAACAAACTTTTATATCAATAGTAATTATGTTTTATAGAGTGCCAGGTTAAAACATGATTTTCAAGATTCTTAGTTATTTCTAAAATCTTGGTCATGATGCTTTTAAAATATACAACTCTCCTTGTATTAAAGAATGTGCTTATTGTGGCACATTAAGAAGATGTAAAAATAGTAGATTGGCTATATTATATTATAGTATAGTATAGTGGCTGCAGAAAATGCTATTTGCTGGTCTGCTAAATTGTTTGTGTATGACAGGTGATCATTACCAACTTCCAAGCTACCAGTGAGGGTCGTTACTAGAAGTCAGTTAACTAGGCAACAAGTTAAATTTTAAATAGATAATTAAGACTATGGTAACAACAACAATGAAAGAAAAAATAAAATTGTGTAAATAAGGTAATGGAACGAATTTTTGTTTTTTAAGAAAAATAACAGCAGGCTAGGTCAAATGTATCACCCTGTTTTAGCATATGAAAGAACATGATGATGATCAAAACTTGAATGTGTATAGCAAGTTGATGAAGGTTTAAAGAAGTACTTTTTATTTGCCTTGCTTTATACCATCTGGAGCCAAAAAGACACTATAAAATGTGCTGCATTTTGACAAAACTCTCTCAGTTTTAAAGGACTATTCAAAAGATAATTTAAACAGAGTGTAATCTTCTACCACTAGAGTTACACAGGATGAGTCAATTCCTTTTTCTATGATAGCCCTTCATGTATTTGAAAAATGCTTTCATGCTCCTCCATTAGAGGTAAAGGATGAGAAGGACACTGGAGAGACTGAAATCATGAGAAAGTTAGGAAGTCATGTGCAATCTGTACAAAGTTTGAAATGGTAACAGCACAAAATTATGAATGAAAGTTCCTTTAACATCACAATAGTACATATTTTAGATTTTGGCCATTTGAATAGGTGTCCGGTAGTATTTCTCACTGTTTTAATTTGCAATAATTCACAGGTTGGAAGAAAACTTTTATATATCATATATCTTACATGGGGCTGGTATATAGACTATTATAAAGAATAGTTACAACCCAATAATAAAATGACAATCCAACTTAAAAGTAAGTCAGACATAGAAAGAAAAATATCATATGTTTCCAAAATATATTTCCAAAATATGCAAGCAGCTCATATAACTCAATGCCAGAAAAACAAACAACCCAATCAGAAAGTGGGAAAAAGACTTAAGCAGACATTTTTCCAAAGAAGACACATAGATGGCTAACAAACACATGAAAAGATGCTCAACATCACTCATTATTAGAGAAATGCAAATGAAAATTACAATGAGGTATCACCTCACACTGGTCAGAATGGCCATCATCAAAAAGTCTACAAACAGTAAGTGCTGGAGAGGATGTGGAGCAAAGGGAACGCTTTTGCACTGTTGGTGGGAATGTAAATTGATACAGCCTCTATGGAAGACGGTATGGAGATTCCTTATAAAACTAGGAATAAAACCACTATACGACCCAGCAATCCCACTTCTATGCATATACCCTGAGGAAACCAAGACTTAAAAACATATGTGTATCCCATTGTTCATTGCAGCACTACTGACAATAGCTAGAACATGGAAGTAACCCAGATATCTATTGACAGATGAATGGATAAAGAAGTTAAAGAATGGATAAAGAAGTGGTACATATACACAATGGAATATAACTCAGCCATAAAACGAAATGCATTTGAGTCAGTTCTAATGAAGTGGATGGACCTAGAACCTATCATTCTAAGTGAGGTAAGTCAGAAAGAGAAAGATAAATTTCATATTCTAACACATATATATGGACTCTACCAAAATGGTACTGAACAATTTATTTTCAGGGTAGCAGTGGAGAAACAGACATAGAGAATAGACTTACGCACGTGGGGACAGGGGAGGAAAGGGTGAGATGTAAGGAAAGAGTACCACGGAAACTTACGTTGCCATCTGTAAAACAGACAGCCAGCAGGAATGTGCTGTGTGGCTCAGGAAACGCAAACAGGGGCTCTGTATCAACCTAGAGGGGTGGGATGGGAGAGAGATGGGAGGGAGGTTCAAAAGGGAGGGGATATGTGTATTTTTATGGCTGATTCATGTTGAGGTTTCACAGAAAATAACAAAATTCTGTAAAGCAATTATCCTTCAATTAATAAATTAAAATAGTGGGGAAAAAAGAAGAATCTGAGGGACATTCTAAAAAAATATAAATACACAATGGGCAAAATGAAAGAACAAAATATGACTAGAAAGTTTACATCTAAAGTCATGAAAAACAGAATAAACATAGAAAACAACATGTTCAGATCAAAGAAAAGAGAAATTCAATTTTTTAAATGATAAATTTCAGATAATCATAAGACACACGTGAAATAAATGAGTAAGTTCTACATGCATCAACTGGGATACAAATTTGGGAGTAACTTATATAGTCATTTTAGAAAACGACTTGAATACAAAAATGAGTTCAAGATGCTCCCCTTGGAAGAGAAGCATTCTTTCAGTGCAGGGTGAAAGTAGGATCAATACCGAAGGAGAACCTGGAAAGTCTCTTTCTCTCTCCTTCTCTCTCTGTGTCTCAACACACATGAAAACACACACACACAAACATACACACCAATAAAAACAAACAAACAAAAATCAAGGAAAGGGACATGGATTTCACTGAAATGAATGACAACAACGACCCTGAAAAGTGTAAGATAAGGCCTAACAAATGTTACTTGGATGTCTTAAAAAGGAGGCAAATAATTTTAAAGCAATAAATTTGATAGAAAATTAAGGCTAGAAACCAAATACAGAATTTTACTGTGTTGTTTAAAGTTTCACTTTAATTCTGTCTATTATACTTGATCATTTTTTTGTTATCAGAGTGGGGAAACAGAGGAGAAAGTCCACTACAGTTAAGAAGTTGAATCAGTGGCAGGGACCACTTATCTGTAGAAATCAGCACTAAAAGAACAGATGATAACAGAGTAGTAAAAAAGGCAACAGGAAAAAAGCACATTGAAAATAATTTCTAGAAAAAGAAAAAGAAAAAGAAAAGTGCAATTCGCTTTGACATAGTAATTCTGCTTCAAGGAAGTACTTTCAAAAAATAATCAGAGATATTCACAATGGTTTTTACATAAAAATGCTAACCTGATCAACATCTTGAAATAGTATACTAGTATAACAGTATGTG